GCTCAGAATTTTTAGCATTACGAGTGCGCGAATAGTTTTTTCTCATTGTGAAGTGCTGCGACTTTCAGTGAAACCAGTGATCTATTCGTGTGGGATGTGACTCTTGGTAGTTTCTGAACAATTTCGCTCGCGGTACATGTAACTGCCGCCTCGAACGTGAGGGCACGCTAGCTCCATCATTCCGTTAAAGCAAAGCGCCGCGCCTCTCGGGTGCGGATTCTAGTAACGCATCCGAGCGTACCATCATCTCTCGCTCTCCGTCTCCATCAACAGGGGGCAACTCTCGTCCTTCCATAGCATACTATCTGCAGCAGTCCTGGCGCGATCTAAGACGCTTTACCGGAACGATAAACTACTTCCGAGCATTGATTCCACACGCTACCAAGCTAAAGGATCCCTTCATAAACTACCTCCATGATGCCAAGAAAAACGATAAGCGACCGATCAAATGGACAACGTAGGCCACTGAAACCTTCGAGGACTGCCAAAGAAAGCCTTGTCAAGGCCACGATAGCCTGTTTCCACGCACCCAACGCACCACTCAGGCTCAATACAGACGGCTCTTCCACAGCCATCGGAGCATTGCTGGAGCAACTGAAAAACTCCGTATGACAGAGAACTGCTGGAAATTTTCGCTGCAATAAAGCATTTCTAGCACATTCTCGATAGACGAGAATCCGTCATGCGCACTTATAACAAACTGCTCATCAATTTTCTTGACCAACTGCCAGACAAAGCATCGCACCGAAAGCTCGATCAACTCGATTACGTCAACAATTCCTGCCAAAATTATCGAAAAACGAGTGTCATATTTGGATTCAACGGCTTAAAATACATAAGAACAACTAAGAGGCAATAGAGAGCGCATTGGCAATGTTTGATTTTTTGCCAGTCAGCCAAAATGTGATATGATAATATATTGTTTTTTTCATATTGAAATTTAAGAAAAATTTTGTCTAGAGCTAAGAACATTTGTATCAATTTTAACATCCGATCAATAACAAAACAAAACCAGGGGATCATAAGGAAATACAATTGAACAATAGCAATCAATAAACTCAATTTTACATGGACATCAAGCAATATTTTCTAATTTTAGAGTAGGACTACATTTATTCGAAGTGAAAAAGTAGTGCCCAAATTTTATGTTGATAGTAGTGATGAGAATCCGATGACGCTACAAATCATTTTCATGAAGTCGAGACGAATCTAAATCGTTTGTACGTCCGCAGTTAGCTGTTCTATTTCTCGTTCCAGTTTCAGTGATACATTTTTAAAAAAAGATTCCGCGAAAACATTTTTATTGAAAAGCTGTAAATGCTGTTCGAATAGATAATTTTGTAAATTAATTAATTATATTGGTATACTATACTAAAATAATTAATATTATATTCAATGCTATGCAGATCAGAATTTTCAATTATAACACACTAGAGCGAATTCACTCTTTTGAAACACAGTGATTATATTAGATGTATCATAGTTCATCTAACTCAACTATTCATTAATTTCAACTAATAGTGGTATGTATTTATATATTATTGATAGTAAAAATTAACTAACAACAATTAATTCTGCTATATTAATAGCAGAATTATATAAGCAGCTTTGATAATTAAAATATATATCTTGATTGATATTATACAATTCAAAAATATTAAAGAAATACAGTATACCCTAAATATAAGAAGTTATATAAATCAGTTTTAATCATTCGGATACAACACCATTGATAATCATGTCATTGTAAGCCCAGCCTGTGGATGCATCACTTATTTAAAGCATTGAAGTCTTACATCAGCTATAACATTCCAATCTTCTGGTAGTTCTACTTTAAATCTTTTCAAAATATATCAACAACTTCTTTAAAATGAAGATATTTTTTAGTTTCATCGAAGCAGATTAATAATTTATATTTCTCATCTGACTCCTGTAAAAGAAGTATATATTCAGTAATAATTGCAAAATCTTTCATTTATTTTATGACAATTTACACTTTTACCGTTATCAAATTATCCATGAATATCGTACAAACCATCAATGAAGAAAGATACTTTCTTGTAAATAATAATAAATATTTAATATCTACTAATACATAAATATTCATGCAATGCAATATATAGTTCAATCTATCACAGTAATTCAAAGAATAAAATAATAGTTCTAAATTCCAAGAAATAAACTGAAGTAATATGTGTTCATTACCTGTCCTGGGCAATTAATCAAAAGGTAGTGATTTTTGAAATTAAAAACTTTTCTAATCAACCATCCAATATTTTTCTCTAAAAACTCAATACAATAAGCTCCATTAGTTTGCAAGCTTCTGTACTATCCAGACCAAATATCATATAAATACTATAATAAAAGACAATGGTCTTTTACATTTTGTAATTCTGTATGGCCTTTAAAATCAAAAACATTTAATCTTTATTGCAATAATCAACTGCACATGATTCAGATATTTTTTCAGAGTTTTTACCTAAAATTGCATATTTTTTCTTGTGAGAATAGCAAATTAACATTCTCCCTTGTACTCTACTATATGCAGCTGCTTTTGTAAATGATCCAATACATGTGCATGAATTTTCCACAAAATTAGATGTGAAAGATTCTAATTCATTGGTCCATATTCAGAAAACAATAGCCTAAAGTGATCCACTTTGTATACAATTACTGAAGACCGTACTGATGATTTTATAATCTTTGAACAAAGCTATTACCTAAAATAAAAAAACGAATTCTACTGTATTTATCAACTTTATCTAGAAGTTATAGCGATTAATTTATAAAACTACCTCCTTCAGATATTGGCTGTTTAATATCGGCATGATAAACTCTGACAGCATACCAACTCGAATCTGCAGCCCAGACAACTTTAAAAGCCTGTCCAAAAGCGTTGTTTCTCAAGCCTATAAATGTATAAATCATAAACTATCATCAAAAACTACGATGAAACTTCCTTTAGGATTGTGATGAATTGTTCGTGGTTAGATTTCACAAACACCCATGTCTTTGACAGTTAATGGCAACTTTTCACCTTCCTGAGCTTCTTCTCCAAGTACTTTCAAATTGACCTGCTGAATTTCACTGTGTTTTGCCCATACAATTTTACCACCTATATACATAAAAAATTTTCTAAGCGTAATGATCTTTACAATGAAACATGAAAGTTATTGCATATGTGATAAGTTTACCAAGAGAATCCATAGACACAGCTGGTTCCTCACAAACAACTTTTAGCATTACACTAACTTCATTGTAACCAATAGCTACATTATTAGAACCTTTTGTAGATGTAGGGAAAAACTTGGCACAGCCAAGAATTTTCCCAATTCCAAAGTATTATAAGGATGTCATTAATTTTAAAAATTATTAAATAATTCAAGATATATGATATTTGAATTATCAAAGCTGCTTATATAATTCTGCTATTAATATAGCAGAAATAATTATTATTATTTAATTTTTACTATCAATAATATATAAATACATACCACTATTAGTTAAAATGAATAGTTGAGTTAGATGAACTATGATACATCTAATATAATCACTGGTTGATAGACTAAAAAAATTATTTCTAACCTAATAATAAGTTTATGCTTGCTTAGAATGCTGAATGAACTGAACTGAGCTGAAATACTTATTGCACTGGGGGGTTTCGTCTATAACTCAATTAAAAATTATCTTTCCCATAACAAAACTATATTTATGATGAGCAAATTTTTAGTTATTCTTTGGATATCGATGGAATCATTTTTGATGTTATGATATTTTCTATCACCCAATATCATGGTTGTTTTTTCATCATTTAAGCACAGTTCAGTTGACTACAAAAAATAACTAACAATTTGCTCATCATGAATATAAGTTTGTGTTATGCCAAACATAATTTTTAATTGAGTTACAGACAGAGCCAAGTGCAATAATTAAAGTACTCTTTAGAGACTTGAGCTTGCCTTAATTTTGGAAGGTCGAGATTTCATAAAATTAAAACTTTAATAAAATAAATAATTAATAGATATTACTTTCTTCTTTTTTTGGATAATTGCTGTCTTTTGCATTTATGGATTTGAGTAACAGCAGCTATTGGTCGATTATCTTAAGATTTGGGCAAGAATTTTGAACCTCGACTAAACTCTGTCCTACTTTAGACATAGCCTTTTTATTAACTTTATTGAATTGAAATATTGAATTTTATTAATAATTACAAAAAAATTAATTCCTGTTGCTAAACATATTTTTGAAAATCCAAGCTATAGCTTTTATTGGAAAAAATATAATAATTTTAAAAATCAAACCAGATCATCAACACAGACAAATGCTAGAATTGTTATAAAAACTAATAAATATATTATTGACAACAAATGAGAAGATGTTCGATCTCAGAATATAATAGTTTACATCATTTCATAAATTGATGTGACTTAAAAATTTTAATTGATTCTTATCTACAAAAGTAGTTTGTAAAATCCTGTTATATCTCTATCCTCCACCAGTGATTGTACTCCAACTATTTGAGTTTATGTATTGTCATAGCGTTACTAAGATTTGTTCTACTGATCTAGAGATGGGGTATTTATACTTTTGTTCAATTAATTTCAATCAATGAATTGTTTAGTTTTTGAAAAATTGATAATATAGTTTTGATAAAAATTTTTAGTTGACATGACAATTTTTATTAATATTTAAATTTCAAGAACTATATTCATGTGGAATGTTGCAAAGGTTCACTAGGTACTTGTTCTAAACTCAACATCCCATAATTTTTTAAATGGTACAAGAGGAGAAAGTTATACATACATCATGACTGGACCTACAATTTAATGAGGAATTCAAATCAAGATAATAAACAATTGAAAATTTCATATCTGAAAATCCTTATATGCCTGGGGCTAGACCCCACAACTTTTTTTTGCACAGAAGCATTAATTTTTACCCAATAAACCACCATGAATTAATTTAATTAGAAAATATAAGTTAACTGTTAGATACTACACTTGTGACACCAACTTTAGCTACTTTTTGACCTAGCCACATATACATCTATTTTAAATAAACTAATTTGTTTTGAACAATGAAAAGAATTTGTGCTTGGTTTTAAACCATTACTTTATTACTTATGATTTCCAAAAATTTGTCAATTTAGTATATTCAAAAAGTATAATTTACATAACTTCAAAAAAATACTTGCTAATTGTTTGAGACCTTGCAGCAAACAATCTTACAGTGACAGCTAAGGATTAAGAAATGTGTCATTCAATTGATATTTGATACATATCGTAAAAAATTATAATTCATATTTTTAAATAAACAAATTTCCTGAAGAGGCTTAGAATCTGTTGTCAAAACATTAAAAAACATGTAGACCAATATATGAATTCAATTTTAATTATAGGTCAACCCTCAAAAATCAATAAAGCATTTTTAGGTAATTATAATTTGATAAATCGAATTTTACAAAACATTAGATTTATATTCAATTTTCAAATATATAAGAAAACTGCTAATTTTGTTATAAGACTTAAAATAATCCACCAAGATCTGATCAATTGCAACAGTTGTTGATTATAATTTTAAACACACTTAAAAAGATAAAGTTCAAATAAACTTCACATAAGGTCAAATAGTAACATTTAAACAACTAAACTGAATAAACATAATATAAATTAAAAATATAATATAGATAATTGATAATTTTATATTCAGTCTGGTTAAAATAAAATTTATGTGTGAACGCGTGGTCGTAACCTTTCTAAAACACAAATTTCGCTGATGCACATTAAATAATATGTAACTTACATAAATAATATAACTTACCTGATGATTCAAAAGAATGATAGTAGCTGGTTTTTTTATTATTCAATAATCACGTATTGATAAATACTTTTAATGTGCCTCGTGTAGATGTCCCCCGTCAGTGTCAGTACAAACGACGGAATGACAGTTTGCAGTGAGAAGTAAAGTTTGGACTACAAAAGTGACCGAGCAATGGCGCTGGCGACGTGTTTCGAATAATATTTCAGCTATATTTTTTTGGAAATATTCCATGCCGGTATTCAGCAATCGTTCCGAAATATTTCTTAAAAAGATTGTAAACAAGCGAAATCTATCTCGAACTGAAACCTCTCACAAACCTTTCTGAAAGATTGCAGAGAAATGTTTCACTCAATATTGCAGAAATATTTTAAAACACTTATTAGGCATGTTCCGAGTAATATTTCAACGAGTTTTTTGGAAATATTCCATGCCAGTATCCAGCAATCTTTCGGAAATGTTTCTCGAAAGATTGCAAAAATGTAAAATTCAATCTCGAACTGAAACCTCTCAGAAACCTTTCTGAAAGATTGCAGAGAAATGTTTCACTCAATATTGCAGAAATATTTTAAAACACTTATTAGGCACGGTTCGAGTAATATTTCACCGAGTTTTTTTGGAAATATTCCATGCCAGTATCCAGCAATCTTTCGGAAATGTTTCTCGAAAGATTGCAAAAATGTAAAATTCAATCTCGAACTGAAACCTCTCAGAAACCTTTCTGAAAGATTGCAGAGAAATGTTTCACTCAATATTGCAGAAATATTTTAAAACACTTATTAGGCACGGTTCGAGTAATATTTCACCGAGTTTTTTTGGAAATATTCCATGCCAGTATCCAGCAATCTTTCGGAAATGTTTCTCGAAAGATTGCAAAAATGTAAAATTCAATCTCGAACCGAAACCTCTCAGAAACCTTTCTGAAAGATTGCAGAGAAATGTTTCACTCAATATTGCAGAAATATTTTAAAACACTTATTAGGCACGGTTCGAGTAATATTTCACCGAGTTTTTTTGGAAATATTCCATGCCAGTATCCAGCAATCTTTCGGAAATGTTTCTCGAAAGATTGCAAAAATGTAAAATTCAATCTCGAACCGAAACCTCTCAGAAACCTTTCTGAAAGATTGCAGAGAAATGTTTCACTCAATATTGCAGAAATATTTTAAAACACTTATTAGGCACGGTTCGAGTAATATTTCACCGAGTTTTTTTGGAAATATTCCATGCCAGTATCCAGCAATCTTTCCGAAATGTTTCTCGAAAGATTGCAAAAATGTAAAATTCAATCTCGAACCGAAACCTCTCAGAAACCTTTCTGAAAGATTGCAGAGAAATGTTTCACTCAATATTGCAGAAATATTTTAAAACACTTATTAGGCATGTTCCGAGTAATATTTCACCGAGTTTTTTTGGAAATATTCCATGCCAGTATCCAGCAATCTTTCGGAAATATTTCCTGAAATATTGCGTGAAAGCAAAATATTATATTCCATGGAAATATTTCAAAAATATTTTCGAAATCTTGCGGTGAAACATTTTTTAATAACTTTCAGTAACATTTCGGAAATTATTTCCTCCATATTTCGAGATATATTTCAGTGATATTATTAATAAATATTTTATGAAATAATTGCTCAATCTTTCAGAAATATTTCATGAAATATTTCATGAGAGCTTCAGAAAAATATTTCATAATATATTTCAACGATCTTGCTGAAACATAATTTTGAAAGATTTCATAGAAATATTTCGAAATATTTTTACAATATTTAGGAAACGTTTTTTAAATATTTCTTTGAAATATTTCTTGAAAGATTCGTTTGAAATATTTCATGCTGTGTGGGCTGACAGATGACTGAGCAGACGAAGTGATGCGACGTAACGAGATACAGAGGAACGACACGAACGGACGAACACAGACAGAACCTCCAGTCAGAAGTAATATCAATATAGTCCCTGGCTAGGGAGAAGGACACCAAGGAGAGGGCGGTTTAGTGGGTAGGCCTATTTTTTTCGGGGAGTCCCACATTACCCCTTAGTCAGAAAGACTAAGGGGAATCCGCAAAAAGGATTCCGCAACTCCTTGTAAAAAAAAAAAAAAAAATAATAATAATAATAATAATAATGATAATAATAATCCAATACCCAAGATAAACAAAAGTTCAATTATCAAGGTAGTTTTTGATTTATTCTTTACATGTGTTCGTGCCACATTTAGTAACGTGAACCAAACTAACCAATATATGCAAAGAGGGAGTGTCCAGTCTATCTAGGCAAGGTGAGAATGCTGAGCCGATCAAGACGAGACGTTGGCTACCCAGCCATTGAAGGCAAGGTATTAATTACCCAGCAAATTAAAGCAAGGTGGGAATGCTCAGCCAATGAAGACGAGGTATTGATTATTCAACCATATAAGGCAAGGTGGGAATGCCTAGCCAATGAAGGCGAGGTATTGATTACCCAGCAAATTAAGGCAAGGTGGGAATGCCCAGCCAATGAAGACAATACGACGACTACAGATAGAGTTATGGTCAAGGTTGTAACACAAACATTTATTTCATAAAATGTTCAAATTTATGCAGTGTTGAATTCTACTAAATTTTCAACTGTGGACAACAAAACGTAACGCAGAATAGCTCTACAAGCTTGTATGATGCGTTGCATCATATCTTGCCGTGTTGTTGGTTGCTGTGCATAAACAACACTTTTCAAATAGCCCCATAAAAAGAAATCTGAACTTGTTAGATCTGGTGATCTTGGACACCACTCAGTAATGTCATTACCAATGCTCATCCATCGTCTTCGGTATCGTTGGTTCAAGTGACGAACTATTAGTGAGCCATGACACGGTGCACCGTCCTGTTGAAGCCATAATCGTCGTCTTGTTTCCCAGTCCACATCTTCCATTAATTCTGGTAATTCATTCTGCAGGAAATTAGGATATGCTGCGCCGTTGACATTCCCATCAAAAAATAAGGTCCTATCAGATAACCATTTATTATACCGCACCAAACTATGAGGCTCCATCTATGCTGATTATCAACGTAACGTACCCAATGAGGGTTCTGGATAGACCAATAATGACTATTATGGCGAATGAGTTGCCCATTACTATAAAATGTAGCTTCGTCCGAAAACATTACGTATCTCAAAAATACTGGATCTTCACGAATCTTTGCTTGCCTAATTACAGAATTCGAGTCTGCGGCGAAGATCATCTGGCATCAAAGCTTGAGTCAAAGTTGTGTGATGCGGATGAAATCTATGAAGCCGCAAAATTCTACCGGCTGTTGTTCTTGAGATTTCAGTACGTCTCTGAATTTTACGCAAAGAGATATGATGATCCAAATCAACCATTGCCAAAACAACGAGAATTCGTGGTCAACGTCTCTCTTTTCGTTCAATGATTCGGATTTTCACGTGATTTGGGTACCGAAATCTCCCCGGGTAATTTTGACGGTAATATCTTGCTGGAGCACGATAGTGGCCTTCACATGCCCCGAGGGATAACAGAATGTCAACAATTTCGTTTCTCGAATAATCTGGCATATTTGGCCCTTTTGAGTCGCTAGACACTAAGAAATTTCCACGTGAACGATCCTGAGAAGGACTGTTCACGAGTCACCAATTTCATAAATAATACTCAAGAAGTATTATTTTCCGATTTAGTTGAAACTCTGTAGGCTTGTCCGGAATCACACCAGAAAAGAGAAAAAAATAATTTGTTTTCCTACAAAAGTATTTTCAAAAATTGATTTTTCGGGAAAAAATATGAAAGAAACGTACGTAACGTTTATTTGTCAAACTTTAAATGATTACCTTTCGATAATTTGTTTAAATAACTTTTGATAAATAATTGTAAATGGCAAAAGAAACACACGGGAATTCTTTTTCGATTTACCTACGATTGGCATAGTTAGTTTGGCGCTATCTTGCTCAGGTTTGACAAGGGCCTTAATGGATTAAAACAATGTGGGAGTGACAGTTTAACTTTCTTTCCAAATCGGAAATAAAAAAATTAGGTCTTTTGAGTAGCTGACTTGATAGCCAGCCAAGTTAGGCGAACTTGTTAATAATAACGGAAGCTTATTTTCCATTTTTTATCCATTTTTCAAGACTTTATTTAAGGATTCATTCAAGATTGATTGAAGAATACGTATAATTTAATTTAATTTAATTAATGAAAGCTTATTTTCCATTTT